CCCCCCCACCCCACCATCTTCAAATGCAACGCTGGCAGCGATGCTCAGAGTATCAAACTCTTCGTTGGAGGCGTTCTGACAGCGACAGAGCTAGAAAACAATTAGGAAATTCCTCACAGGTTATTCAACTAATTACACCAAAATGCACATTGATATTAGTATTACACCTGAATAATATAAACAGACTTTATTAAGCATCTGTTACAGTGAAATGCAGGCTGACCCAAATAAAGAAAAGTGTTTAAAAGATTGAATTAATTGAAAAACATCTGAAACCAAAACTGCAACATAACTCAAGGACAGCAAACAAAAGACCCATAATGAAAAAAGAAAAAAAAACTCCATGATTACAAAAACCTCATGTTTAAGGACATTTTATCAAATCTGTGGTGTGTGTTGCAGCCATGTTTGCATTTTAAACTGGTGGCATCTGTCAAACCAGGAGGTTTCCCACAAACACAGCAGAGATGGTGGCGAGGGCCAGGGTCAGCGTGGGGATGCCGGGCGCTGCATTGCATAGGTTTGTGTTGCAGCATGTCTTGGTCATCTTGTAGACGGTCTTGTTTGTGCCAAAGTTCACATCGTCAGTCTTGTTGCAGTTCTCTACTGCTAGGCAACCCTTCATCTTGACGTCCACAAATCCAACTGTGGAACAACAAACAGCGTCAGCGTTTACCACTCAGGGTGCTCGCAGATTCTTTAGAGTTTTAACATATGTCAGCAAAAGTCTGGAAAGTTCAGTTTGCAGAAGGACCAAGCATTATAAAAAAGATCCTGCTACTGTTTGTGAAGTCTGGTCATGAAGCGTTTTTGCTATTGCCATTTTGAAATTTGGAAAACTAATGTGTGAAAGATGAATTGGACTGAAACCACATGTTCTTTGTCACCAGTCAGTAATCATTTAGCTTATCCTGGAAAGCCTGACAATGTAACATGGCTACATGTTACAGGTAGAAATTCCACAACTGAGAAGGATCAACTTAAATGGGAAAAACAAAAAACAAAACGTACGTTTCAAATCAGTGACAGGGCAATCAAGAGTTTGTTCCTGCAGCACAATGATCACATTTAGAAAAATCATCAGTTCACATGCAGGGGAATGTCTAAAACTCTCCCTTTGCGTTTGCATTTTAAGAATGCAGGGGTTTCACCTTAGAGCTGACGACAAGCTTTACAAGAATGCAGTGTATTCACATTTGTAGCCACTGGCGTACTTACTTGCTTTCCCAACTCCACTGTAGCACTGTTCACCGCTTGCACATGTTTTTTCAGACGTCACACACAGACTTCCAATCCCAATGGTGCATTGGTAGCATACAAGAGCTTGGCCTGATATCAGATTTGGAGAAAAAA